TATGCTCTGTTTTTTTCCCCCCCCCCCCCCCCCCCCCTTCTTTTTGTAGCATAGGGGAGGGAGGAGATGAAAGAAACATTATCCAAGCCTCCTTTTGCCATCAACCCCTCTTGAATAAAGAACGACTGGAAGAGCTGCTCTGCAGCAAATGGTGTTAGTTTCTGTGCATCAGCGTGAATTTAGATTCCAAGGCTTATTTGTAGGATTCAGCATTTTTGTAACAGCTACATGCACAGAGGAAAGAAAGCAAAAGAAGTTAGACATTTACCCACTTATGCCTGAGCAGAGACTTTTTTTCCCATCTAGAAAAATAAAATTATCTATATTAAAGTGCCTATATATTAGTATTACATGTTGAGGACCCCTAGGACTGAAAGTTTCTGCTGGTCCCGCTTCTGTTTTAATAATGGGAAGCCTTGCTGTGAGGAAAATAGCATAGAGATTATAAAACTGATTGTCTATTGAAGGAGAGTTCAGATTCCGGAACTGGTGCAAGTAAGTAAAAGATGCTTGCAGTGTCAGATGCTGCTTTAACGTGGCATGTGCAGTAGATGAGAACTGAGCCTGTAGCAGGTCTAATCCAAGCACTGCAACTGTTTGGAACTAGGAGGAATTGCTGAAGTTTAAAATAAATAAAAAAGCATATGTGGGGGTCTTAATCCCCTATGTAGGGAACAGGTAGCAGGGTAATAGTGATCTGTGTAATCTGCTAGTGCATATTAAAGAGAAAGTCACAAAGAAGTCAATGCTTGCTGTCCTCAGCCTGTTTCATACCTGTGCCCATGGGTATCTCCTCTCTCTGTTGTTACAATGTCAGAGTCCAGAAAATCACTTGCTGCTCCCTGGAGTCCTTAGAAGTCTATTTCCTCTACAGATCAGACCATTAAGGTATGAGGGTTCCTGCTATCCTTCCTTGCTTACACAACACTGAATCAATGGAAAAGCAATTAGAAGATACTGTGTCACTTTTTAGTCTCCATTTTTTTTCCTATCAAGAAATTCTGCACAGGGAGAAATTTCACAGAGCTGGCCTTCCAAGCTGCAGTTTAGAATTTGTTTTGTTTTGCAGGCTCTTGCTAACCTGAGTTAGGCCATTACCCCAGCACTTAATGTTCAGGCTTCCCTCCACCGCCAGGCCCTGAATTACCAGGGCATCCTGGAGCGTCTGCTGGCATCTTCCCTGTTCCTCCAACACAGGCAGAGCACACCCCATGGTGCAGCTCCCCTCTCCAGCTTTTTCAGATTATCGAGAAGAGTTGTGTGAATCACTAGGGGTTAGGGCTCTAGAGCTCTTGTACTTCCTTGCCTTCCATCACCTCTGTTTTTGTTGATCTCCCTGTGAATAACACTTAATACTTGCTTCACCTGCTTCTTTTAGGCAGTGGTTCGGTAATGCTGAACTCCAGCAAAAATAGAGTTTTGTATTGTGCAGCTCCTGTTCCAAACAGTGTTGCCTGACCACACACATGGGCATCCCCTCACTGTTATGCAAAGACTACTGTGCATTGTACATTGGATCATTGATCTGGCTTCATGAAAAATTGGGAGATGTGGCACGTTCCTTGGGTTTGTCTTGTTTTGAAGTTAAGGTGGTTCATGATCCTGCCCACAGCCCATCGTGACAAGCTGTGACTCAGCTGAACTGTGTGGGAACTCTAGGGGGATGACTGAGGGCTCCTTGAGCTGATACTGTTTGACAAAGCGGCTCTTTCCTCAAGCCAGCGTGAACCAGCAGTGCTGGAAAACTTACCTGAAACTCTGGCTTCATTCACAACTACCTCTGCACTTTTGTAGAATGTCAGGGGAACCTGGTCATAGTCTTATCAAATCTATTGCAGCAGTAGAAGTGCAGTCTCTCTTCAGGTGCAGGAAGATGGCAGAATGTTCACTTACGGTTTTTTGCAAGTTTGTTATATTAAAGCATACGGCCAGAATTTCAGTCTGTGTTTCTAAATCATCACCTAAATTTTATAGAAATTGGTGCTTTCAACCCTGCCTGGCTTTCGTTTTACAGGTGTCTCTGTCTCTAAGATGTCTTAAAAGGTATAGTTATGGCTTCTAGTTTTAGACATAAGGAAAAGATTTAATTTATTGTTAAGGCTCAGAAGGAGAAATCCAAAGGTTAACAGTTGGTTGATATATCAGATGTTGCTTGGTATGTGTATCTGCTCTTTATTTTTGCATTTCCTTTTCTCTGCTTCTCCAGGTGTCATCTTGACATAAGTACGTTCAAGCTTGGCACTAAGGAGTATATGAAACTTGCTTGTAGGGGTGGAGAAAAGAAACTGCAGCATCCTTGTGTGTATCAAAATGCCTTGTAAAAGCTCTTTAGCGAGTGAGAATTGAATTCTGTGAAACAATTTTCATAAGCACTTGGTACAAACATGAAAAAACATCTCTGCACACTGTGCAAGCACAAGATACACAGATTATAGTGCAGTTAACATTAGTAAAGAGAATGGTTATGTCTAATTAGTAGCACAGGATAGGTGAGAAGGTTTTTGAAGCATCGTGCTCAGAAGTGGCATTAATCCAGTAATATCCAAGCAGTAAACCCTGTAATGCTTTTCTAAATGGCCTGGTTAGTCCTGAGGGTGTTCAGGCTTTATTGTTGCACACGTAATTTAATGAACTTTTAAAGAGACCTCTAGGCAACAGCCCAAACTCAGAAGGGCAGAGGGGAAAATGCTGATAGACAGTCCTACTGAGCTAGAACACAGTGGCTGTGAAGGAAATGCTGCTGAATGGGCTGATGGCTGAAAGAAATAAAGCAACTGCATTTGGACTCGCTAGTGGGCTTTTCGTCCAAATTGGAGCCATCTCTTTCTTTAGGAAGTTATTTGTGTTGGAAATCAGGCCATAGCCAGGCTGGAGCAGGAAGGAAGAGGCGGATAGCTGGTGATCTCAAAAGGGTGTGCTCTGGGTGCAGAACGACAGCTGTGGAAGAAGTAGGTTGGCCGCGAGGGCATTGAACTTGGCAAGAAAGCTTCTTCAGCTCCTTGCGCTGCTGAAAATCTGGTGTCATGCTAGAGCCTTTGGAGTGGAGCTGAGGGAGCCTGGAGGGTGGGCATGGTGGTGAGGCTCGCTGCCCATTCAGCTAAGGAGCCAGCAGCCCTCCTGAGGCCACTCGTCCCTTCCTGCAACCTGTCTGTGCTTCACAAAAATACAAAAATGTGCACTCAGCAGAGGAGTACTGTTCCCAGTCTGGAAAAGAAGAGAAGCCTCTTACCTTCTGTCCAGTGGTTCCCGAGTACTTCCCCAGCATTTCATAAAGTGTTTACAGGCCTTTCCCGCCATCTTACTGTGTCTGCTTTGCTGAAAGGGATGTTGAAGCAGCAAAGAAGTGTAAGCTTTTTTTTTCCAGTGATGCAAATTGTCTGTATTGGAGTCAATAAAGAAACCAGAATTTGTGACTGACTTCCTGTGACCTTTAAATCATGCATTTCCCTATACTGAGAGATGCCTCTGACACCATTTGTGCCTTAGTTAGGCAATTGGGTGGAAAAGCAATCTCATTTTCCTGGGCTGATTCATAGGTCCCTAATGACAGGTTACATGTTAATACTTGTTTTTAGCAATTATCATGCAGTTGTGTTTTGACTGGGACCTGATAGCAAACATGAGTGAGAAGAGCTTCAGGCTAAGGCCTAATAGTGCAGCAAGGATTCTTTTTGTTTGCCTGTTTGAAAACAGTTCCCCCCACAGTTGTTGTAGTCCTTTTCTAAGGTGACTAGATCAAAGGTGATTGCTCTTCACTTGTTTTTTATTCTGTTTCAATGCATTTGACAATGTTTTATATAGCACCAGTTTTGTTGTTCCTCGATCATTACAATGATTATTACTATAGGGCATAAAGTATCAAACTCAAATCACAGCTATATTGTGTAGGAACTGTATAAATGTGCAGTAAAGAGAGTCTCTGTCACAAAATGTTAGTGGTGTCTAGAGAGATGAGGCAAAGAACAAAAGGCATGATTCAGCAATGTGCCCCTGTTGCACAAAAGCTCAGTTGCAGTCTGATACAGAGCAGTTCTTCAAATGAGAAGGACACATTTCTTGTGTACGAGGTTGCAGGATCAGGAAAGATGACCTCTTGTCTGCCTTCTAGAGATTAGCGCCTTTAAAATAAACTGGTCTTGCATGTGACAGAGAAAGAAGTTCAAGCATCTAGATAGTCAAAGATCCCTTTCTGACCCTGATGGGGTCAGAAATTTGTGTAGTATTTAAGAAGCACATTTAGAGTCAGTGTGAAAGTCCGTATTGTTTTACATCTCACCAAACTTTAAGGATTTGCACTGCACCTAAAAGTCTCTTCTCCCAGCAGCTGGGGGGCAGGTGGGAGGGTTATTGTCCTTCGCAGAGGGATTCTTCTCTGTTTGCAAGTACTGCAGACAAGTAGGAAAAAAAAATTCCCATCCAGAGGTGGGTGAGATCGGTCTGTCTCCATCTCAGATTCAAAATCTCTCCTCACTGCCACTCAAGGTCCTTCCAGTTCAAAGGGACCAGTTGTTTCTGTATTCCTTCATCTAGGAAGTTGGTTAGCCCAGAGATAGTGAAAGTCTTGTGACGGACTGGGATCCTTTGCCTGAAGAAAGTGCTAAGAGTAGCCTTTGCCACCACCTTTGAGCTCAAATGCATGTAGGTGCCAATTTAAAGCAGAATGATGCTGGCTCACTGACGTTGCTCTCTCCCATTTCTTTACAGCTCCTGTATGACAACCCAAAAGCCCGTCAGGAAGTAGAATATCACTGGCGAGCGTCAGGGTGTCCCCACATTGTCCATGTCCTGGATGTTTATGAGAATATACATCATGGAAAGAGATGCCTCCTCATTGTCATGGAATGGTATGGACCAGCAGCAGCCCTCCACCAAGCATTGCTCTTTGAGGGGTTAGAGGGAGTGGGAGAATGTGTTAACTTAGATGAGAGTTAGGTGAGCTTTTTCAGCAGCACAATTTTAGTTTGCACAGCAAACCTTTTGTTGTCTTTATGGAAGTAGTAGGGAAATGTATAGCTGCTCCAGCCAACTTCTATGATGGAAGAATGAGGAACCTTAACCAGAAAATAAATTTTCCTTGTACTCCATGACAATTGCCCTCATTAAAGCATTGACTAATTAATGCAATCTCAAAAGATATGTCTCTACAAATATGATGAGCTTTGATTGTGATTGGCTTCCAACTTCAGGTGTAAATCCTATGATCTGACATGATCCTTTCTGCTGCTATTTTGACTCTAACTTTTCCTATTCTCTCCTTGATCCGTAATACCACAGTTATTGTCTTCTTCACTGGGGACAGATTAATAATCCTTTTCAGTATCTTTGCTTCCTTCTTTCTTTTTTCTTCATCTCCAACCCTTACATAAAACAAGATTACTGTCCCAGTGCTAGTGTATCTGACTTCCCAACTATGTGTGTCATGTTCCTTGTGACAGGGTACATTAAACTTGAAAGCATCAAAACTCCTTGGTCATTTTGCTTTCTAATTATTCCATATCAGAATGGCTTTGTGCATTGATTCAAATGAGTGTGATGTTTAGGAAGCATTAGCATAGGAGGCAGCCTGTAATCTCTTCTAGTCTGTTCCTGTCATGGTTCTGTGCGATTATATGGATGCACAGTCAGGTGTTAATTTGATCTTTTCTGCTCATGTAAGGTGGTGGTGGGGGTTGTGTTCTTTGTTTCAGCATGGA